ACTTCTCTGGATTGCCTTGGTCACCATGTCGACCAACATGGATTAACACCACTTTCAAAGAAAGTACACAGCGGTTTGTCGTTTCCCGCTCCTCAAACAATTATGCAGGTTCGCCGCTTCGCCGCTTCATCGGCTTGATCAAGTAATAATAATAAGGTTAATTTGTGAAGCACATCTTCTACCGCCGCTTTATTCCAAAGTGTGCAGTGACTCTGGCTCCTTTGACGGATCTTCTGAAGTCAAAAGCCAAATCGCTACGGCTATCTCACATTGTTCCTGCAGCATTTGATGCAGGCAAGAAAGCACTCGCGGATGCCACTATGCTTCATCGTCTGAGCACCGATGCAGACACACAGTTGATTCTTACCATTAATGCACCAACATTGCTGTCGGCGCAGTTCTACTTCAACAGGTCAACAACCAGTTGCAACCGCTAGCTTTCCTCTCACAGAAGCTACAGCCAGCGCATACTCGTTACAGTACCTTCTCAAGCGAACTTCTTGCATCCAACGGCTTCGTGGAGCGTCTTCACAATCAACTCAAGTCCGCGTTTAGGTCTTGTCCAGATCCAACTTCATGATGCGACAACCTACCGATCGTACTTTTGGATATTCGTTTAGCTGTCAAAGAGGAGATTCAGTTCACTGCGGCCGAGCTTGTATACGGCTCCCCTCTTCGCCTACCCGGTTAATTTATGCAGCCATCCTCTTTCAGCACCGACACTTCGTCCAGGTTCGTGAAACAGCTGAAACAAAACATGGCACAACTGCGTGCAACTCCCACGCGTTCGACACCAAAACGTGTGTTCGTGTACGATGAACTGAACAATACTCCGTTCGTTTTCATCCGCCAGTTCGCAATCCCCTTTGCCCACCGTTGGACGGCTCCTACAAATTACTGCAATTAATGGACAAGTACTACGTGATTCAGAAGGCTGAAAAAACTGACACTGCTTCTATCGACCGACTAACTCTAGCCTACTTTGAATGCACCTCGTAAGTTGGGCCGTCCATTCTTTCTGCATTATCGACTTTCGCTACATTTCTCGCTTTCATTCACATGCAACTGTCACCCCGCATACGCACTCCATCCCTCCATCCATCCTTCTGCACCAACACCCCCTTCCACTCGTTCTGGTAGATATATCCGTGTTCCTGCCAATCTTAAGGACTTTGTGCTGTATACGACATATTTCCGTAACTTGGGCTTCGTGCTGGTTTACACGTAACTAAGTGCCCTCTTTCTTTGGTGTGACAGACGAGCGATTTGAACAGTGGGCTTGGAAAAAGGTCTTAAAAGAGATATTCCCTTTTAAATACCCTATCGATTGTGGTGACAACCCTCGCTGGACCAGACGGCTGAAATTGGGCAGTAACTTTGGTCAATGTTTCTTCATTGCAACTCAACTTTGTGGCTACTGCTGAAGAAAAGCGTTCGCATTCAGTGAGTAATATCGTATACTTTTATATCCTTGTTTCTCGGATTTTACCAGTTTTCCTGTCGTCGTAGTTTGTAGTTGTTTAGTTACTGCTAGTTACTACGTTCTAAAATTTGTGTTTCACATTTTTTACATGTTTTATGCGTTTTGTAGGTATTAACTCTAGTTTACCACTACAGGACTGACCCCATAGATGGTCCTTTTGAGACAATTCGCAGAGATCGTTAGTGCGCCCTAGAATTGGATGACTTCTTTGAATTGGCTCGGATGCTCGACGGAACGCCTTTTCGCGGAAAGCCGCTGTAGCGTGGAACGGAGTCCCTGACGAAGTGATCCTTCCAGAACCTGCTGGGACATTTAAATAGAAACCTGATTATCATTTTCTGAGAAGTCATTGTACGTATAATGAAGACTGTTTCAGTAGCGGTCGTTTGGGACTGACTTGCACATATTGATGACATTCAGTTTCCTTTTTTGTATTTATTATTGTTAAAGATGATTTTTTTGTTATTGTTGGGCATGAATAGGAGGCTCAACAACAAAAGCCTTATTCCATCAATGAGGTCACTTAAAGGGTATTGTAGTCTGGCTGATCAAGGAAGTGCGAACTTATTGCCTTCAAAGCAAACAGTCAGAGAGTTCAGCAAAGTCAATTGTTGCTATAGTGAGAATGCGGTTGTTCCAGTGAACTGGCCCGGCTGCTCAAGGGGAATCTAGAGGAAAACTGAAGATGTATTAAAACTATCTGACTGGGTGAGATTTGGTGTTGTTGCCATTTGTGTCAAAATAATGGTCATTATGCCTTCTTTTACAAGAACCCTTTACAGAACAAAGCCTGGAAAACCGGCTCAAAAAGAGATCTTAAGGAATAAATAAATTTTATATTTAAGGCCCAGAGGGCCACATCATTGCAAACTTAGTGCTGCTGTAAAAATAAAAACAAAGTGGACAATTGCTGCTCTGTGTGAGCAAACATATAAATTGCGTGAGTGTATAGTATGGTAGGCAGACAATTTTAGATGCGCCAAAATATCGTCACTTTAAAGCAATGGTCAAAACTCTTTGAACAATATGGCAAACGAAATGCTGTCAAAACACGGATTCGTCAGCAGTTTGCAAAAAACAAGGACTAATTCGCAGCACAAAGGAAAACATGGCGTAGACTTCAGGGAAATTTGGAATTTATAATTGTTAGCGCCAGGACGGCGCTAGCTATATAAACTTAGTTTCGGAATAAAATTATGTCAATCTATTTCGATAAATATACAAATGTGTGATGATTTAAGCAGAAATTGTCCTTTAAGGACAATAGTTAGCGATGTTTCGAAATTAATGGTGACAGGTAGACAGTGAAAAAATATCCTACACTGAATAGAGGAAGAGTTCAGCGAACACTCCCCAACCTACACGTGCTCACCGTTGGTCCAGTGGAGGATTAGTGATATTGCAAAAAGTTGCGCCTCATTGACCTCGCCAAGGGTCAACTAACACCCCAACCTACACGTGCTTGCCGTTGTTCCAGTGGGGGA